ACCTAGCTTAAACCCCAATTCCTGCAATCAAGTTAGGAAGATTTCAGACATGTTGCTCAGAGTAACAGGCATGAGTTTATTAGAAGAAATGGGAAAGGAGGAAAGGGACCCTCTCAAGGGAAACAGTGGGTCCTCCCAGAGAGAATGACAGTGCACCTCTCCTGCCCTCTGGTTTTATTAGGGGGCCCAGGAAAGTTTCTAGAGAGTGCTGCCCAGATCTACCTCTTGACTTTTAACTGATAGCAGGATGACCTCAGACTTTCAAGTGCCCACTACCATGACAACTCTAGGTCATTTTGGACCATTGCTGACTGGTTCTATTTGGAACCTGTTCTTATAGTTTTTATGGTTTGTGGGCATTATCCTTATCTCCCTGAGTTGGGGATCTAGTCTATGTAAGAGTCACAAAATTTCCCTTCCCTATCCTTGTTTCAGGGTAACTTGTGTTCTTATCATTGGCATTTCAGCATTTCAGACCTGCTTTTCTCCTGTAGATAACAGGTAGTTTGCTGAGGAATGTAACTTGTCCTATGGACTTAAGCCAGTCAGCGTCACAGGCAAATTACTTCTTGGGAAAGAAAGCATGTGGGGGGGTCCATTTTATAGAATCATGCCCTTAACCTCATGTTCCCACACTCATGTCTGTCTGTCCTCTGGGTTTCACTATCTGGTTTTGAAAAGCATAGGATATAAATAAATGACAGGAGTTGTTTTCAGTGGTATTCCTGTCATGCTGAGGAAGCCAAAGTGAGAGAGGACACGGGGGCATAGCATAAGGAACGACAGGAAGGATCTTCTTGCTGGCTTTTGCATTTGAGATTCCTAATGTTCCTGAGGCTTCTTCATAGTTTGGTTGTTCGACCTGTTGATTCTTTATTTGAGCTGAAACTTTCCTCTGCCTTAATGGGGTTGAATTGGATTTTTGTCCCTCACAGGTGTTCTGGCTAAGTAGCATTCATTTAATGATTGAAGGCACCCTGGAGAGCATGTTTTCTCCCTTAAGAACAGCTTCTCTCCACCCAGAATGCCCAAATGCTTTAGCACAAAAGCCACCTCCTAATGACAACTTCCCTAATCCTTCTTAGTAGCAGGAAGTAACCTTGCCCATTTGAATCACCAGGCTCTTATCTAAGCACCCTCATGGGGTGTGCCTCACACTCTTACATTCTTTTTTGTTCTAGAGCAGTTTGGGGGACAAACAAACTTCCCCTGAAAATGTAAGCCTTCTGAGAGTGGAGACTCTGTCAGTAGGGTTTCTTGTTTTGTTTTTTTTTAATTCCCTGTCTCACCTCCCAACACTGCATACAGTATAAAATACTGGTCAAAGTCTGCTGATTGAATGAGGAAAAATAAAAAGGGCTTAACTCTTGTTAATAAAGATGTAGTGCCATCTAAAAGTTTAGAAAATTGATTAGAAAGAGTAGGATGTTTTCTCTGGAGTCTTTCGAAGTCAATTCTATACAATAGAAAGGGATAGAGAATCATCTTTGGGAAATACAGTCATAATAAAATCAAGAAAGCAGCATTATTATTATTATATAACATTAATTTAATAAAAACATAAAGGCCACCAACATTAAGACCTGGTTACTGTACTTTTCAACGATCTCCCATAATGAAGATATACTACATCATATTTTCTTTCCCTAAGAGCAGAATACTGTTTTATATCAGAGCTTCTCAAACTTTTATCACAAGCTGGAAACACCCAGGGACCCTGCTAAAAGACAGATTGTCACTCAGGGGGCCTGGGGTGAGTCAGGATTTCCCACAAGGCAAGATTCTGGGATATGTTGATGCCACAAGTTCATGAGCCACAGTTGAGTAGCAAGAATGTGTAGCAGTGGTTCTCAAATGTGGCTGTCCATCAAAACTATCAGGAAGCTTCAAAACCTGCAAATGCCTGTGTCCCATCCCAGAAATTGTGATTGAATTATCTGGGATGAGGTTTGGTTTTGCAAAGTTTAAATGATTGCCAAGTGATTTGAATGTGCAATCAAGTTTGGGGAATTTTCACACATAAAAAAGTTCTAAATCTTTGTGGTGCTTATGGGGGAGAAGTTCTCATTACAAAAGCATTAAATATTCATTATAACATGTAAATACAGGCAAACAGAAGAACACAAAGAAAACTAATAATTCTGCTTTATGAGGTTAACTATCACCAAGACATGTTGTATGTGTATGTAAATAAACTTATTTATATGTAAATAATTTTATTTTGTCCAAAATAGGATCCTACTATGCAGCTCTTTAACACATCATAATTTACTTAAGCATCTATTTGTATTGTTTGAGTTGCTCTTATTTCAATTATTTCCTGCTTAATTTCTATGCTGTGCTCATAGGCTTGTTAAAAAGTAACAAGTTGTTTCATCCTGCCTTCATTGAAATTTTTTCCCCATGATTTTGATCATTTGTATTTCTTATTAAAATTAAAGGTCCAGTTCATTCCTTCTGCCCATGTTTCTATTGGGAAATGTTCAAAATTTATCTTCATAATCTTAAAAATGAAAAATTACTGCAATGTTTTTAATGAACATTGTAAAGGACGATGGAAAAGCTCCGTAAACTCAAAACAACCATTTACCTGTCTGAGATTTTATTAGCAGGACCGTAGCGGCCAGTCGCAGAAGAGAAGGGAGGAGAGAGAGAGAGAAAGGAGGAGAGAGAGAGAAAGGGGGAGAGAGAGAGGAGAGGGGGAAGAGAGGGAGGAGGGAGGAGAGAGGGGAGGGGGGAGGGGGGAGAGGGTGAAAGACCCACCGATTCCCTGTCCAAGAAAGACGCACGAGGCACTGGCTGCAAAAGCAAGAGACGATTTATTGATACACAGGCGCCTGCGGGTGCCCAGCGAAACCTCAGCCGGAGCTTCGGTGAACTGGCACACCGGGCTTTGGGGTACAGGATTTTTTATAGGGTCAAGGAGCAGGTTTCGCGGGCGCGGTAAGCAACAGGTTTCTTATTGGTTATTTTGAACCCAACATACAGGTTACCTAAAGGGTAAAGTTATTTTTCATTTTATGTTCCTGGAATTACACCATATGACAGTTACATATGAACACTCTGTTTTTTTTTTTCTATTCCTGCTTATTAGCCCCTGTTTAGTCAGGCATGCCCTGGAATCTATTCTTCTGCTCTTTCCCAACCATCCTGTTTTTCTTAATCGGTTACACTTAACTGATTTTCTGAAAAATACATCTGACGTCTGTGCAGGTGTGGAAGCAAGCCCTGGTGATTTATTACTGGGCCTAAAGTTATTGGGCTGGGGTCTTTCAAGGGGAGGGGGGAGAGAGGAGGGGGGAGAGAGGAGGGGCAGAGAGAGAGGAGGGGGGAGAGAGTAAGAAAGAGTAAGAGAACGAACACGAACAGGGTATTGATATTTATGGGCTTAGCACAGGATGAGGAGGAGCAAGGCGAGTGGGCTGTTACTTCTTCATTGGCTGAGAGTTTGCGCCACTTCAGGGATTGGAGGTGCGCCATTCAAAGTTCGCGCCATTCACAGGGATTGGAGATGACGGTTCAAGCGCCATTCAGTGCGTCATGGGCCTAAGCTCCTGGAAGAGAAGCAGTCTGGACATCATCTTTACCAACACTCTTGAGCTCCCGGAAGAGAAGCACTCCGGGCGCCATCTTTACCAACAAACATCTTCTAGCCATTTCCCATGCTTTCTGTTGTCATTTTGGTCCTTGTTTTCCTGAGTTGGCTGTGAATCTTAGCTAAGTCCAAGTGTTAATCCAGCCCTAGTGGAGTCTTTGCCTCCCCAGATTCAGGAAGTGGAGCAGGTAGATAGATACTTAAATTTTCTCTGTGTTTATTGAGTGCTAGAATCTTTACTCTCTCAGATTCAAACTGGAAAGAAAGCTCTAAATGCACAATTTCTGTCTTAATTTGAAAATTCAAGGAAGTACTCAACTGGAATATATTTCTGTGCTCTTTTTTTTGGGGGGGGGGGGAGTGTACCAGGGATTGAACTCAGGGGCACTAGACCACTGAGCCACATCACTAGCCCTGTTTTGTATTTTATTAGAGACAGGGTCTCACAAAGTTGCTTAGCACCTCCCTAAATTGCTGAGGCTGACTTTGAACTTGTTATCCTCTTGCCTCCATCTCGGGATTACAGGCATTCACCACAGCGCCCCACTTGTCTTTGCTCTTGTCTGACTTTATCATGTTCTCTACACTGAAGTCGAAATCTTTCAACATCTTACTTTGCCATAATAGATGAATATTATGCTCACTAGGTATAATTCCTGGTGCTTTTCTCTCTGATTATCCCAGGATGTAACTCCCCTCCTCAATAACCTCTCTCTCCTGTCTGTGGTCTCTGTATGGAGATGGGCAGAAGCTCTGAAGTTATCTCCAAATCATGGTGGAGGGAAGAGAGCCCAAACTGAGAGTAGGAGACTAGTTTCATAGAAGGAACAGAAACTGGAGTTCAGAGTTACTAAGACCACTGGGGTTTGAGTCAGGGACCTCTAAGAAAAGATCCTCAGGCTGAGTGGAGTGCATGCCTGTAATGCCAGAGAGAGACTTGGGAGGCTAAGGCAGGAGGATCACAAGTTCAAAGCCAGCTTCAGCAATTTAGCAAGGTCCTAAGTAACTTAGCAAGAGCCTGTCTCAAAATAAAATATAAAAAGGGCTGGGGATGTGGCTCAGTGATTAAGTGCCCCTGGTATGTACAAACAAACAAACAAACAAACAAAAATCTCAGAAAATGTGTAGGAAAAATTCCGTCATGCCGCCCCTCCCCCACCAAAAAAATCCCATAGTATTACTAGCTGAATTCTAAGCTATGAATAGGTAGGATAAGACACCAGGTGACAAGATGATGAGGATCTGAGTAAAAACTTCAGTATAGGACAATGCTGGGGAGATACTGAAGTTTGGAAACAGCTAGAGTAGACATCTTTGGTTGAGACCTGAGCTTCCAATTGAAATTCCAGAAAGACTATATACTCAGAATAAGGACCAGAATATTAGAAGTAAGAACTATACTGTAAATACTATACTTTCAGGGATCATTTCTGTAGTTCATTACTAGAGAAGTTTCTCTGATTGTGTAGAGTACCAGAAACCATGAGGAGGAGGCATACTGTTCCCTTCTGAGCATTTTTGGTGTTGCTTTGCTGCAACTGCCTATTGCAATTAATGATTGTTCTCCTCTCCTCTTTGGAGAGCAAGAGGAAGGGAACACAGTCTGAGTGGTCTCCATTTTTTTTTTTTTTTAAAGAACTATACTATGGATTCTAGGGTGAAACTATAAAGTATTTGCCTTACTCAAGTCTTAACATAATCAAGGTGATCCCTTGGTAATTTAACTGTGTGCAAGAACAAAAGCTCATGCTCTGTAAAGGAATATTACATAATCCAGAGCCTTTGCAATGTACCATCTACAATATTTGTCATGCATTAAAATCATTAGACATACAAAAGGGCAGGAGAAAAAGAAACCAATTACCAAGAAATGAAACAGTCAATAGAAACAAGTGTAGAGATGACACTGAAGTTGGAGTCAGCAGAAGGGGTCTTCTTTTGATGAATATTTCTTGGAAAATAGAAGAAAAGGTGATGAACAATGGGTGAAAAGAATGGATGTTTCTCTATTATTTATTTTTTTCAGTACTGGGGATTGAACCCTAAAGCACTGTATCACTGAACTACATCTCCAGCCTAAGAATAGATACTTCAATAGAGAACTGAAATATATTTTTAAATAACAAAGTAAACATTTTAGAATAGGATTAGTATATTTGAAGATACTTAAAAGGAAGTTAAAACTGAAGCACAGAGAAATTAAAACAGTGGATGAATACCTCCTGTCACTGCATTCTTCTAAATAGTCCCAGCTCAGTAATTAAGATCTTATTAATGATTAAAACTTTATATTTTGTTCAAGGTTGGGATATTCCTCATTCCCCACTTTAAAAAAAAAATTTTTTTTAGATGTTGATGAACCTTTATTTTACTCATTTATTTATATGCAGTGCTGAGAATGGATCCCAGTGTCTCACACATGCTAGGCAAGCACTCTACCACTGAGCCACAACCCCAGCTCCCCACTTTTGAACTACATAGGCCTGTAGTCAAAAGGAAATTCTTAGCCAGAGCAGGGAACACACACCTGAAATTGTGGAGATTCAGGATGCTGAGGCAGTTATTGTAATTTCAAGGCCAGCCTGAGTAACTTAGTGAGGCCCTAAGCAATTTATAAAGTGCATCTCAAAATAAAGAAGTAAAAAGGATTGGAGATGTAGCTCAGAGGTAGGGTGCCCCCAGTTCAATCATTAGTACCACCAACAAATAAAAATTTAAAAAAAATCTTTTATTTTTCCTAGTCTTATTTTTTTGCCCCTCCACACACATTCTAGGCTGTCCAGTATTAGAATGGCAGATGCTCTTGTGTAAGTGGAAAGTGACCAGTGAATGATAGGTCTGTTTGCAAAAACTGAGTGATCAGTGAATATCCATGAATGTACATTATATCCACTCTCTGGTGAAGTGAATATCATAGAAAATTAATACCATAAACAACAACAACAACAAAAACCCCAGGCCAAATGACAGGCAAAAATGCCACAGATACTCATGAAATATGGGTATGGCAAATCCAGTAATTCAAGCATGATGATCACTCTGGACATGTGATTTTGAAAAAAGGAGAGAGGAAATGGGACATATCATCTATTGAACAAGTGGGGTTTCCATTTTCTCTTACAGCAGAATTTACTTCTGTCCCAGAAAACCACAATCCTCAGAGGAGGAAAATAAACGAGACATAAATATAAATATGCCCCCTGAAGGGCAGTCCACAGACAAAGGCTGCTTCAGGAGATGCGCCAGTTGATGTCATAGTGAAGTCAGATAAAATTACTCATCACTATTAAACTAGTTCATTGAGGGAAAACCCAGGGAAGTCTGTAGAAACTGTGTTGATTACAAGTGATTCCAGGCAAAATCACTGTGCTGGTCACCTTTTGCTTACGCGATAATGAATAAACAGAGGAAATGTTCTTCCAGAAGCTGATCTCCCTTGTCTATCCTCTGAGCTCTCACTGGGTGATATTGTTCTCTGACCACATCCTCATCCAAGCCCAGAATCATAGAGCAGAGGAGCATCCCAGGAGGTCCAGTTCAGTCTCCCATCCATTGCTCTCCCCAGAGGGTGCAAACTTGCCAGCATGTGTTCTTAATCTAATCGAGTGTCTGGCACCCTGTTCCTGTGCTCTACAGCCTTTGTCAGTACTGCTGCTCTCTGTGGGCCTCTTGTCATTCTGCACTCACCTCTGCAGGGCCCTGGAGACTTTCCAGCTGCATCCTTGCAGAGCACAGATGGGTGGGCATCCTGCTCTCAGAGGCCTCTCCTGTCTTCCAGGAACTCCACCCACATATCTTCTGCTCTTTTTCCAGTCCACTCACTCTCCTCTGAACTCATTCCTGCTTTTCAATGGCTAAAAAATGGGAATGTGATTTTAGTTTGTATTAGCTGCTTTATAGAACACATAAGAAGAGAGGACAATCCTGCTCTATCTCATACAGAAACCTAGTCATTAGGTTGTGGAGACAATTCAATGTAATAAGCTTAGTGTAGTGCTTATTACACAGAAAGTGCTATGTAAGTACCATACAATATATAACTAATTATAATTATTTTTTCATCTTTGCAAAGTGCATTCCTTTATCGTAGATTGCATAGGACTGAATCCGTATTGTACCTGCTTAATACAGGTGACTGAGCACCTGCATGGCCAACCACAGGCACAGGGAAACAGTGGCTCTACCTTCTATGAAACTACAGGAGACTCTATAGAGGGTTTGAGAACAGAGGGAATGAGCTAAGGATATGAAGAGAGTTCGAAGAAAGGTGGGTAGTTGAATCCTGGGGAAGGAAGATAGCCCTTGTTCCTGGCCAAATTTCATTGAAGGTACATCTCTCTCTGCCTCACTATTTCTGGGAGCCTAGAAGTTGCCTCCTGGCCCCCCAGTAGCTTTGTTGTGTAGGCACTGATGTGCTGTGTGCTCGGAGATCTCTGTTTGAGCCAGTGACAAACTTACATGCTTCAGTTTTGGCTCTAATAATGCAAAATTTCCCAGTGCAGGGCCCTGAGGGCTCTTGGACAGACCGAAAGGAGGCTCCACCTCCCCGAATAAAAGTGTCTGCTAGGATGCAGTGCAGGCTGTCTCTCTTTCAAACACTCTAAAAAGCAATCTGACCTCTTCACTTGTGACCTCAGCTTGCGGTCCTTTGTGGTGACTCTGTTGACATACTCAGGGGAAGAGAAGTGAGGTGATGTGTATGTGGCTGCATACACAACACTCATTCGACATTACTGACGCTTGCAATAGGGTCCTATGGCGTATGCCTGTAATACCAGGTACTAGGAAGGCTGAGGCAGGAAAATTGCAACTTTGAGGCCCACTTTAGCAACTTAGTGAGACTGTCTCAAAACAAAAATTAAAAGGGGCCTGGGATGTGGATATGTCTCAGTGGTTAAGCACCCCTGTGTTCAACCCCTAGTATTAAAAAAAAAAAAAAAAAAACAAAACACCAACAGCATTATTGACGCTTGTGTGATGATTAGCTGATGATGTCTCTGCATTGTGAAAAGATAATCTCATGATCTCAGAAGATGGCTGGTGGTGATGGTTGCACAATATTGGAAAATGTACTTAATGCCACTGAATTGTACATTTAAAATTAGTTAAGATGCAAAATTTTATGTTGGGCACATTTTCTGGCAATTTTTTCAAAAAGAAGATGATCTCAGGTTTTTGTGAATCAGCCTCTACACAACACAGTTCCTTCTCAGCAAAGGTACATAGTATATAAAGTGGGGGGACCTTTGGTTCTGGGGCCACCTGGCTCTTTCCTCATACCTTTGTCGCCTGGGCAAATCACTAACCTACCTGGAGTTCCTATTTCTGTATGTGTAAAGCACAGAGCTATTGGAATGATGAAATAAGAGCTCTTAAAATTCTCACTGTGCCTTGTTGTCCAGTCTTCCTGGTTTTCCTGGGACTCAGGGATTCCCAGGACATAGTCCTTCAGTGCTAAACCCATGACAAATCCAGGCAAACCAGATGGCTGGTCACCTTGGCAGAACCAGCACTTATTGGCCCATAGTATTGCTACTTCTACTACCCCAATAAAAGCTAATACATGGGGGCTTTCTTTTTCCTGGGCCCTATTTCATATAATTTGTATGGATTGGCTCATCTAAGTCATGTAATTATTATCTCAGCTTTTTTTTTTTTTTTTTTTTTTTTTGGGGGGGGGCGGTATTAGGGATTGAACCCAGGGGCACTTAACCACTAAGCCCCATCTCCAGACCTTTTTATTTTTTGTTTTGAGACAGGGTCTCAATAATTTGCTTAGGGCCTCACTAAATTGGTGAGGCTGGCTTTGAACTTGTGATCTTTCTGCCTCAGACTCCTAAATTACTGGGATTACAGGCGTGTGCTACAAGGCCTGGCATTATCTCAGCTTTGCAAAGGAGGAAACCAAATAGAATCTGAACCCAAGCAAGATTGGGTTAAGCTTCAAGGCTACTTAGTCTTAATAGGTTATGTCCTTTCCCTGCAGATGTATAAAGCACTATTTCCCAGTCACTGTTCCAAATGCTTAAACTATGTTAAAAGCTGGACACAATATCTTTAATTAATTAATTTATTTTTATGTGGTGCTGGGGATCGAACCCAGGCAGGGCCTCGCCCGTGCTAGGTGAGCACTCTACCACTAAGCCACAACCCCAGCCCCTAATTCATTTGTTTCTTAAAATGACCTTATTGCTACTATTATAGAACAAAAAGAAAGAAAGGCTCAGTTGGGAGAGTTGGAAGGAATTAATGAAGCACTAATTGGGCAATTGCTGAACCTATTGTATTAAGATAGAGTAACCAGCTCAACCTGGATTTCACACTGAGAGTCCTGCATCCTGAGAGCTCCCTCAGTCCTGGGCAAATCTGTGCTCATCTGTGTAAAGATCATGTACACAATTCTAGGTCCAGAGAAACTGAAAATCCAAGCCAATAATTCAATCAAGAAGAGCTAAAATTAGCAATAAAAAATGATGCTGTTCAACCTTCCCACTTATCAAGGAAATGTAAAAAACAAAGAAAAAACAAACAAAAAAAATTAGGTTCATGTTGAACAGATGAATAAACATTTCAAGTAGCAATAACAACAATAATCAGCACACAAGTTTCAGG